GATTTGTAAGCACTGTCATGGAAATATCCTTGAGGGTATCTATGACAAATGTCTTAAGTTCCCTGAAGAAGCAGCTTAGACTGGCTGTGATCCCTGGGAATCCCACTGTTTCATTCTGGGAAACAATGCATAAGTGAAAAGAAACAATGCATAAGGATGGAACATTGGTTTAGGCCTAAGAAATGACAGAGATGAGGGAGGAGAGAGGGAAGACTYACTYTATCTGTAATGTTTGCATTCTTAAAACATACTCATATACAATACTTGTATAATGAAAAACATTTAAAGATTAATTTAGTACACTTCAAAGGAAACAGATATTCATGAGTCTTATAGATATTCAAGCATATAGATTAATATTATTTCAGAAATTTCTCCTACAACTAATGATAMAGCCCTTTTTCAGGGTCTAGAACAGATCGATTTAGACACTTAYTATTTGCCAAAGAATATTATTGTGAACACATTAGTTATAAACAAATTTAAATTGTTAGGAAGAATAAAATATTTCTATAGGCTCTGCTATGTGCCAAGAGCTGTGTTGGATGCATTATAAACCTATTTAATCCTGGAATGATTGATATTATTACCCACTTGATAAATAAGGAAACCAATCTCAGGGTAAATACTTTGCCAAAGATTACACAGCTGAGAAGCAGCACAGCTAGACTTAAATCTCAGATCTGACTTAAAAATCAGTATTTTATTGGGCTGATTTATTGTCTGTCACAAAATATTCTTTTTCTTTTGTTCTTGTCTTTTTGTTCTTTGTGGTGCTAGAGTCTAACACATGCTAAGGAAGCACTCCCACTGAGCTACATACCCCCAGCCCCTCAAAATATTCTCTTACACCTGAATTAAAGAGAATGGATTCAAGAGGCAATAGGGTGGTTACAGAGAAGTTATATTTTTAAAATGTAGAACAGAATAGAAGGAAGATCAGGATCAGCAAACTTACCAGCAGACTCCAAAAGAATRTAACAGCAATAACCAAATCAAGGTAATTTAATCCATTAGCTTTSTCTTTTCAACCATGACAACCATTCAAAACACAGATGTAACTCCTTAACTTAAAATGTATGGAAAAAAATCCAAAAATTTTTGATAGTCTTTTGATAGTCTTCTATCATAGCTAACAACTATTAGTTCGTGAAAGCTCTTCATTAAATTCTACCTATGCTTTTCCAACAATCTGAGTAAGTTATGCTGACTTGGCCCTTACTAAGAATTCCCCAGTCATTATATACTTACACACTAAATAAAGATTATTAAACTGTAGTTAGAGCTGATGGWTTGTACCTCATCACTTTTTAGCTCATAATTAGAATTAAAGAAGATGAAAATAATCAAGATGAATTTAATACCAGTAGTAAAATTAGCTTAGAAATTCTAAAATTGGAATCTCCTAAATATATTACAAAATAAATAGCTGAAGTTTCATTACAAAATCAGTAAGGCTTGATTATAAATAAGAGATGACTTAATATCTTTGACTCAAATTTCTTCCAGATTTGAAGTGGTTAGGGACAACAGAGACTTATTTTATTTCATGTAACAGAAACTAAGTGAAAATAATTGTTCAGAAAAAAAATTTGTTAATAATCATATCTCTTGAGTCAGTTGAAGTTTTAAGGGAAAATGAAAATGTTCAAASGCTAAATATTAATATAAATAATAAAGGGTAGGAAKTCTACATATATCAACTTCAAATTGTGAAAAATGAATTGTGAAAGAAATTTTTGTGAAACATTTGGCTTTCTCCCATTTAAAAAAAAAACTTCAGAGGTTTTTCTTTTTCTTTTTTAATTTTATTGTGTGAATGTCAAATGTTTTATAGTACTGATTTACTAAATTTTATTAATTCTGTAAAATAAATACTTAAAATACATTGGAATTCATCAAAGAAGTAATGAAAATAGTAGATGATTGAAATGCAYCCAGTAGGAACTTATTCTCATTTTTACCATCTGGTCCTTTTGATAAAAAATGCTTCTAGTGTTATGGACATACTTGATCTTCTTTGAACTGTGCTGTCCACTGCTTTTCTGTTTCTGKCACTGTAGCAATAAATAGTTGTTTAAGAATATTCTTATCTAAATTCCTGCCTGCAAATAAAAAAAATATAGCATAATTATATTTTGCTTATTAAAGTAACATAGTTCACCCATCAACTTCAGATTGTTAAATGCTTAATGATYTTCAGAAATCTATAAAAACAACATAGTTAAGGTATTCCTTTTTTGATTTTCTAATTAAGCCTCAGAACCAAATTGGTACTTAAGAGTAATCACTTTTCTAAAATTATTTTAAGAGTAAAAGGCCTAATGAGTATTTGTGAATGTTATTACATGATTAAGACAAATACACTAACCACAAGCTTATTTTAATTAAAATAAAGCAAATTAATATCCTACTTATAAAGCATGTGATATCCTTTTCAAATCTTTTTTTTAAATTTTGCTTTAGAAATTTTATCCTTTGCCACTTACCAATAAAGACTAATCGATTGGTTCTCTCAGCGTCATCTTCCCAGCTCACTGGAGTCTCTTCCAGGTCATAGAGTTCATGGACACCTTGGACAATCACTTGTTGTGGTTTGTCTTTGATCGACACCAACCCCTGCTTCACAGAGAGTGATCAATCAGCCTCAGCTCAAAGTTAAAAGCCAAAATGATGCATCACTATGAATGGCTTAATTTCTGCCATTTTTTTTTCAAAAAATTCATAAATCTGGGGAAATTATTTTACTCCAATTATTGTGCACTGAAAATAGTTTCCTAAAAGATAAATATTCTTTTTTAAGAGAGAAAGAATTTTTTAATATTTATTTTTTAGTTTTTGGTGGACACAACATCTTTTTATTTTATTTTTATGTGGTGCTGAGGATCGAACCCAGCGCCCNGCATGCCAGGTGAGCATGCTACGGCTTGAGCCACCTCCCCAGCCCYAATAAATATATTTTTTAAAAGGACTTGTGTACATTGATTTTTTTTAAAAATCCTTTTTTTTCTAATAATAGAATTAACACATATAGTAGGGTATTCTTTTTTTTGCATTATTTTTGGTGATACTGTGGATTGAACCCAGGGACACACTACCACTAAACTACATTTTTCAGCCCTTTTTGTTTTTTTATTTGGAGACAGGTTCTCACTAAGTTATCTAAAACATATTTTTTTTCCAGTACTGGGGACTGAACCGAGGGCCTGGTGCATACTAGGCAAGCATGCTAACATTGTGCTACATCGCCAGCCTAAAAAAGTCTTTCAGTGTTATTCATCACAACCTAAAACTGAAACAACAAAATGATAAAATGTAATATATCACATACTATTGATTATTCTGCTTTTAAGCAGAATTAGTGAGAAAATTTGAGAAGTTAAAGGATTTGGGTGATTAATTAAATTATCTGTTCTAGAAATGGTTTACAATAAATGGAGTAGAACTATTATGTTTATCTAAAGTTCACTTTGTATTGATTTACAGAAATGGGAAAGAAATTATCTGATACACTGGCTACTATAGGGATGAAATTAATTTCTCTGAAATGTCTGTGACATATTTTCACATATATGTTTTTTAAATAGGAGACAAACCGCTCACTCGTTCCTACTATACAATTTTTGTGGGGTTTTGGCATACTTGTTTATTTGGAGGATATTTCCTTTCAGGTTTTTTTTTTTTTCCTATGTTCAGTTGTGTGCTCTGCTTTTTAAATTTGAACTTTTGGGATAAGAGACGCCTTGGGAAAAATTATGCAAGCATCAATTTTCTATTATTTATATATAAAGATTGTGATACATCAGCTGTTACTAGAGTTAACATTTTAAACATGGTGATGATTGTACGACTAATTCTTTTTAACAGAAAGACTGTTTTGCTCCAGAATTACTTGGTGTTGTGATAGGAGGAGGACCAAAGGCAGAGCCAAAGGAGGACAACTGCTGAGAAGGTGTCACACATTTTAAGGGCAAAATTGAAATTGAGATAAGATAATGAACTCTACATAGGTCATGGTGCAAACATTAGTGTAAATACCCAAACTTTGCCTTTCTAGATAACCAACCCATGTATAGTACCTAGGGGATAAAAGCAGTTACGGGAAGAAATGTGTTCTGCCGATTGAATCATGGGAAGTTGCTGGTATTAGAGACATAAAGCAGCAGCAAGCAAGATCTGGGTTATTTCCTCTGAGTGGGTGGGATGTGCAAGTAGACCACTTGCACAGTCACTGTGCAGAAAATCCTAGGCAGAGCCTCCGGAAGTTAGTTGTTAACTGGAGAGAGAATCTAGTTATGAACAGTAATAGAAACTTGATGCACACTTGTGAGATGACAAGAGTATACACTGAAATGACTGATGATTTGTTATGCACACACCTTAGAACCACTCCATTGAGAGGAAAAAATACCTTTTGACATATATACCCAAATGTCAAGTGATATGAATGACTTTCYACAGAGAACAAGAATTCATCTAGTCCTTAGTAACTTTGTATAGAGTATGATAAATGTTTAGTGTCTGCTAAATGAATCAAGAAGCATAAGGCTCAGCAGGGGAAGGATTTTCAACAAAATTTCTCTGTTAAATGAAGCTCTCCTAGAAAAATAAACACAGTTTTCTCTAAGTGAACAATCTCTGGTGCCAAGAGGAGGAGAATATGATGGAGTCAAGCTCACTAGCCAAAGAACTGCTCAGAACACCTGGGAGTAGAGAACAGGGACTAACATTTCAAAGCACACAGGTTGTTTTAGCAGCAATACTAAAATGAAGCTGTGCAAATAAATCATGCTTTTTGCAGTGATTTCCAAAGCTCCTTTACAGCAATGGGAAAAAATGAAAGTCTACAAAGATATTTGTACCAAAACCAGTTTTTTTAATTTAAAATCAAATATAGTTTTTATTTAACAGCCAAGAAAACGACTTTGTCCAAAAGTCTACAAGGGTAATATTGCATACTGCACCTTAAGTCGTATGACCTCCATGCAGCGATTGTCCTTGTTTCTTACATTCTTTTCCCACAGGAGATTCTGTATCAAGTGAAATACTTTAATAAGACCAAGCATTGCTAATAATAACAACTATGCAACAAACAGCTGATCAATCATTAATCAGTTAAAAACTGTATTCACCTGAATAAATATATTTAGACTGTCTTCCTTCGAGTTTCCTGGTACCTCAAATGTGATTGTAACAATACTCTGTAAATCAACAGAAATAACAATTTTAGAGTAATATCAAATTTATTTTAAAATATAATCCTTTTTAAGATGAAAAGTAAGGAACATATTGGGAATTTTATGTTGCCTTATAAATATGTTAATTATATTTTTCTTASTATAAGTGCTGAATTTTGGAATTAGCAACTCCTTTTATATTCTGCAGAGTTCATCAATAGTTTAGTATTTACACAAAAACCTCTCATGAAAGGACAGTCATTATTTAATTCCTGCTCTTTAGGACTCTCATGAAAGAAGGAATGTTAATATACATTGTGGACCAAGTCCGAGCCAGGCTCTTTTGCCTGTGTCACCTTGTTTCCTCTTTCCATTTACTCTTCACAGTGATACTGGTGAGTTAAAGATAAATAGTTTCCTTTTCATAAATTGGGTAAGATGAAGCTCAGAAAAATAAACTATCCAGAGCCAAGGTACTACTGCTCAAAAGTGAAAGTGTGACACTGATCTCATGGGAAAATAAGTACAAAGGAAAAGTTCATTTTCTCTCTAACTGAATAAGCAAGGGCTAAGTGGAAAAGAGATCATAGAGATGAAAATGACATTTTTGGCTTAGAATGTTGATAACATTATGTACAGAATATAGACCCTGAGATGTATATTTCCTCCTGATCTTGACAAATCTGTCTACAGAACCAGAAGTTTAAGATTTCCTCTAACAGATAACAAAATTCAAACTCCTTTTTGCCAATATAACCCAAAATTTCAAATTTAGTGACAAAAAATTGCATAAAGGCTAAGCATAATGATAAAAATATAAACTTCACCTTGCATAATAAGATATTCAAGCCAACCTCAAATAGCTTAAAACAGGCATTAAGAACATACAAAGGCATAGCTTTGCATAACTTCCTAGAACTGTTTATCTGGCCCAGCATTTTTACTCATTATCAGAAAATCATATAGGAATAGTAGAAAACATGAAAATATCAAAAACTGTTTTTTAATCCAAACTTAGTGAACACTTAAAGTATTAAAGACTAATTTAAGCACAAAGACAGGGACATCTAGTTTCCACTCTTGTCAGTAATAGAAAAGTAGAATGTGCTTTCTTGCTTAAACAGGAGGCATACAAGTCAACTTTTTAAGAAAAAAGTTTCAAGTTGGACTTTAAAACATGAAACAATTAAAAAAGACTTAGAGGAGTCCACAGTAATCCACAGGAAGTACATTCCAAGACCACTGGTATACATGCCTGAAACYGCAGATAGTACTGGGCCACAAATTTAATGCCCTTTCTATCTTAAAAAAGCACTTGTCATGTACTATGGTTATAACTTTTGTAGTATAAGGTGTGACAGTAAAACTGGCACAAATTTCTTTTTCCCTCTTCATTATTTCACTCACAGATTCATTCTTAGCACAGATCTTAGCAACTTCATCATATAATTTTTTTTCTTTCCTTATGATAACTTTCACCTTATTGCTAAATGGAAGCACCTTACAGCTTCTCTTTGTCAATCCAAATCATCAACATCACTACTCTTGTGCTCTGGGGCCATTATTAGGTTAAATAAGCACTATGATACTGTGACAGCTCATCTGACAACTAAGATATCAAGAAGTGACTAATCAGCACTCAACAGAGTGGATATGCTGGACAATGGGATGATTCACATCCCAAGCAGGCCGTAGCTGGATGGTGACAGATTTCATGCAATTTCATTTAATTGCATACAATTTAAAGTTGCTGAACTGTTTATTTCTGGAATTTTCCATTAAATATTTTTGGACTGCAACTAAACATAGGTAACTGAAACTATGGAAAACAAAACAATGGATTATGATGGGGGGGAGTCCACTATACTTGTCAGATAACTAAAAGGTAGTAACAAATGTCAATCAAAAGGTAGTAACAAATGTCAATCAATAAGTGAATATAGAAAATGTGGTATCTACATACAATGGAATATTATTTGGCATCAAAAAAGAAAACAATTGTCATATGCAACAATATGGATGAATCTTGCAAATATTATGCTAAGTAAACTAAGCATGATTCTACTTTTATCAAGTGTCTAAAACAGTCCAAACCCATAGAAATTAGAAAATATAATAGTGGTTACCAGGTAATGAGAAGGCAAGGAAATGAGGAGCTGCTATTCAATGAGTTACAGTCATATAAAATGAATAAGTTCTAGAGGTATGCTGTATAATAGTGTACATACAGGTAATTACACTGTATAATATACTTGAAATTTTGTTAAATAAGTAGATCTCAGGCAAAGTGTTTTTTTAAGCAAAGTAATAAAAATACTTTAAAAAATCTTAATAAATAGACTATGTTTTTAAACTATTGGTTTTCTATATAATTTAAAGTAATACTATTACACTTAAGCAAAATGACATTTTCTTTCCTCATTTAAAGAAATCACTACAAATACTTATATTTCCATATCAAAATATGAGCAAGCCAAAATATATTGCAAAAGATGGCCAAATGAAGCACAATTTGTCAGTTTCAAAAGATAGTAATTAAGTCTTCAAAGTTTTATGATGTATTTTATTCAAGTTGGATAACTCAGCTTTTAATATTGAGATTGTCTCAATTTAGGATTCAATACAGTCTTAACTTATTATTAAAGATTTTATGATGATATTTTTCTTTTATAGGTTAGAGATATGACTAATAGGGGGTACAATTAACTCCAGTGTGAAACAAAAAAGATTTTTAAAATTAAGATGATACATAGTGGTGCTCAAGGAGGGCAATCTATATTTTAGAACTATGGTTTTCTAAATCAGTAGACTCTTCTCATATTAGAAAATTCTTAGCAAGACGAAAACCATAAATTCCCAGTGCTATCTGATGAGAGTCAAAACTCAGAATTCATAATTGCCTCTAATAATAAACTAAACATAAATTGTCACTTGGGGTTTCTAGCCTACCTTCCTACCCTTCACTCCCTAGGTCCTCCTTATGTGAGCAAATAAGGAAATCATGAGGGGGAAAACAGAGAACTACATTAAATATTACTCAGGGATAAAACTTCAATAACCCATGCGTAGGTTATCCTACGTATTCCAACTTCAGACTTTTTTTAGTTTATTTTTATTTTGAATCTAAAATTAATCTCTTTTTCCTATGTCTGGAGACATGAAAGCAGGTAAGTGAGGTAATAATTCAGAAAACTAAAACCTACAAAAGGAAATGACTCAAAAATAAGATTTAAGAATAACTTATGTTTGCTCATTTCATCTTTCTTTTTTTTTTAATCCACCAGGGTATTTCTCAGTTTTTTACTCTTTTGCAAACAATCCACAGTATGTAATAAACTTATCCATGTTTTCTTCATCTGGAAAACAATCCACTGATGTGCTTAAACTCAACATCTACATTTCCACACTCCAGCTGCTGTCCCTTTTTGCCTGGGTATGACATTATACTATGATGTTCTGCCACTCTTCATCAAACCTCATACACACACAAAAAAATATCCAGGTTTATCCATTTCTTTAAGCTTTCATTATGAAGGCTTCCATGGCATGTAAATTTAATTAAATGATGGGTTTTCTTTTGTTAATCCGTCTTCTGTTATTATTAGGACCTCAGCCGTGAACTTAGTGATGGATAAAGAAGAGAGAGATTTCTTTCTCTATACCTCAGATCCACTAACAAAATGACACTGTTCATATCTTCAAATCACATAGCCCTTTTTCTGCAATATTATATTTTGCCCTATGTTTACATACTTAAAGGAGGAAATAGCTTCAGATTCTTCTGTAGAGTTTTTATAAAAATAGCTGGGCAAGTGGCACATGCCTATAACCCTAGCTACTTGGGAGGCTGAGAATGGAGGACTACAACAAACTTGAGGCCAGCCTGTGCAGCTGTCATAAAATAAAACAAAAGGGCTAGAGATGAAGCTCAGTAGTAGAGCACCCTGGGCTCAATCCCCATTACCACAGAATAATAAAAGAGAGCTTTTATAAAAAACAGACATGCCCTATTTACTGGTGAAATGACATAATGTCTGGAATTTGCTTTAATACACTCCAGCAGGGGGATGAGTACATACAGGTTCGCTATGTATTTCTGCTTCTATGTTATGTCTGAAAACAACCATATATACTTTTTAAATTCCATATATACTTTTTAAAATTCCAATAAAAAATACTGGGAGGATAGATGAAATAAAATTGGCAATATACTAATAGTATTTAAATTGGATGATGCATACATGGGGTCCATTTTACTATTATTTCTACTTTTGTGTACCAAATAGAAAATGTTTGTAATAAAATGTTTAAAATACATATTAATATGCATATCTAAGTCCTATTCCTAAAAATTTGAGGAGCAGAAACTATTAAGTATGTTTAAATTTTTTTAAAGGCTCTATAAGTGATTTCGAATACCTACATTTGAGAATCACTGATTCTCATTCTTTTAACAAATAATTCACTGAGTACCTCCTTCACACCAACTCCTRTGCTAAGCAATGAAGAATTTATATTTAATTAATTTATATAAACTATTTCAACCTACACTACAAGGCAGGATAAATGCCAGCATGGGGTACCATCAAGATACTATGGGTGTAGATATTAGCCATTATAAAGGTTCATGTAAGTAAGTACTTTCTTCATTTTTAAATTCCTTATGATTTCTAGTATAATGTCCTTCATTCACAAGCTCAAGAAGAATGTGTTTCAAGTTCATCTTTATGATTGTTATCATAAAAAGTCAGTATTTCCCAAAAATGTCACTAGCAAGGACTTGTACTTCTTTTAGTCATTCATTTTAAAGTTGTTTCTCCTAGGAATAACTTAAGATAAACAACACAAAGAAAGGTGCCACAAGCATGATGGTATAGCTCCACATAAACATAGCAAAAATACAGACAAATGAACTAGAGGCTGCTATTAACGTGGCCCTACGGAAACTGAAAATGACTCAACTGAGTAATCACTGCCAGACAGCCTTTGGGTAGGTGTGGGTATGGGTGTTAAATGGAATGAGGAATTATTCTAAAGCTCTACCATCTATGATCTGCTTAAAAAAAACATGAATACAGTGAAAATATATATGTAAGGTTTGTTTATAGCATCTTAAATATCCACATCAAGGATTAGAATTTTAGATCATGAAAAATACCTTACAGAGTTCAAATTTAAAGGTGAAAATCAAAGTCGACTTTGTTTAAATAAGTCTTGCTTATACAAGATTTTTACTTAATCAGTTATTTCAAAATAGTTAAAAACAGACTGTAGATAAAGCCCTCAGGRTGCTTTAAAGGAGAAATTTCCATCATAAGAACTGAGCAAAACATACTGTGACAAAAGAGAAGCCAGAAAGTAGGATGTCCTAAGATTCTAAACAACAATGGTTTGATGAATTCCTGTTAATGTGTTAAAAAAATTTTAAACATGACCAACTAAGTGAAAGAGACACTTAAGATGTTTTTTTACCTGATCAAGGTGAGATTGTGTGGTTGACACATGTTGAAGTTTTTTCTGCAAACTAAGAATAAGTGATTGTAAGTTCAGAGATCAATATGTTTCTGATTTGACCTTATACATTACTCAGAGAAACAAAGCCAAATAAGGAAGAGATTTACCATAATTGAATCTATTCCACAGTTTCAATTTTGCATATTATTCACTTATTTTAGTAGATATAAGTGAAAAAAGTTGTTTGTTTTCCCGTGGTGCTGGGGGATGGAACCCAGGGCATCCCACAACAAGGTAGGCAAGCACTCTACCCCTGAGCCAGAATAGATAGTCTTTAATAATTACCTTATATGTACATATATTCACACACATAAACAAACACATAATAAAGACTGATTTTTCAGCAACACTCTTTTAGGTGTTAAATATGTCAGTACATTTCTTAATACGTCCTATCTGAGCTTAGGCAAATATAAATAACAGTTTTATACTGTTCAAAGTTCCTTAATTTTCCCTATGCTTTGTTATCTGAAAACAATGCTGATAGCTAAAGAAAGAAAGGTAAATTTTTCCTTATCAAAATTTTCCCATAGGAACAACTTAAGATAAACAACATATACATATACAAATACATATCAATTTATTTAAAAACAAGAAGTATCCATAAATATAAACCTATACACAGTTACTGGTCAAGAGAAAACAAGATCAGAATCTTAACAATGCATTGTCCCAATATGAAGAGTCAGAAGATCAATATGGCATAACAAATTACAACCATAACAACTGTAGCATACATTTAGAGACTGATGGGGACAAGATGGAGGAGGGACTTAAAACCTTGCAGATGTTTTGCCTCCAAGAACAGCAAGTTTAGGAAAGAGAAAGAGCCTATAGGAGCTACTGGAGGGAATAAGTCTCATGGGGGGGTCTCACTAGGAAAAGTGTCAAATTAAATCCTTCCCAGCCGGTTGTTCAGGAAAGGATTCTCCTGGTTAGCAGCTAAACACAAAGAAAAGTTCTACAATGTCCTTACCTCTAATGGTGGGATCACATTAAATAGTTACTTCTTTAAGTGTCCCTAAAGCACTATAATTCTCTTATAAGTGTAGAATGAGGTTAGAAAACCATTGAAAACTCATGTTTTTCATACATCCAATATTTAATGTTTTTGGACAATGCATACAATTTCATATGCAAGCAAAACATCAAAAATTTAACAATGAACATGTTTCAGTTTCTAGTAAGTCTCAGAATTTTGGATCCTTAATTTGTTCTCTATAATAAAAACAAAGGATAATGTGCTCTGGTCTATTGGATAAGTGAGTTACCAAAAATTCATGAAATTCGTGAATCAGAATCCCCATTTTGCATGTTTACTAATAATCTTGTAACAATTTCAGACTCTATACTAATAAAAGTGTATAAATTTAAAAGTTTGGTGTTCTATATGTAAACCATTTTGTTCTGTAAAAAAACAGTTAATTTAGTTCTTTTCATAGTTAGATGGAATAAACAAATTTTCTATTCCTTTCTTTTTTTATTTTTGGTGGTGCTGGGGATAGAACCCAGGGCCCTGTGCATGCAAGGCAAGCACTAAACCAACTGAGCTATATCCCCAGTCCCACAACTTTTCTATTTCTCTAGGTAAAAATACAGATTAATATCAACAACTAAATGCTTTAAAAAATACCTCTAAGTACAGCAAATTATAGCAAGACATGAGTAGAAATGAAAAATTAAAAAATGTTAGCTCAAATAGCAAAACAGGAAATAATTTCACATTATAGTCCTTTTCTTAGGAACAAACTACTAAGGAATAAAATACATAAAAGAAAAAACAGTAATTTCAACAAAGAAGTATTTTAGTGTTTGATATTAAATGACAATTTGCAAGCTCTTAGGCTCAACAAAGAAAAATTAGTTTAAGAAAGGCAAACTTAAGCCAGCATGGTAGTGCATGCCTCTAATCTCAGTGACTCAGAAGGCTCARCAGGATTGATTGTGGGTTCAAGGACAACCTCAGCATTTTATTGATACCCTCCACGATCTAGTAAACCACTATCTTAAAAAACAAAAAAATAAAATGGAATGAGTATATAGCTGATTGATAAAGKTACACTTAGGTTCAATACCTAGTATTTAGAAAAAAAAAAAAGGAAAAAATGAGGCAAACTTAAAACAATATTCTTTCATTTCCCCAAATAAAAACACTTCTAAATATTACAAGATCTGTAACCAGGGCTGGGGATGTGGCTCAAGTGGTAATGCGCTTGCCTGGCATGCGCGGGGCGGTGGGTTCGATCCTCAGCACCACATAAAAAAATAAATAAATAAGTAAAAATAAAGATGTTGTGTCCACCGAACTCTGAAAAATAAATATTAAAAATTCTCTCTCTCTCCTCTCTCTCTCTTAAAAAAAAAAAAAAAATCTGTAACCACCAAAACAGCCCATGGCCTCAAATAAAATAATACAGTTCTAAGCCAGATGTGAAGGGTAAGAAAAAAGGAACATGGCCCACTGCTGAAATRTCATTAAATATTCATGTGTAATGTACAGTAGTTCTGGAATAAAAAGAAGAAAAGTAATGGACCTGAAAAATAAAAACCTAGGATGGGTTACGCTTCTGTCCATTTCAGAAATGGGTAGCAAAAGACAAMATTATCTAATTAGGAGACAGCCTCAGCCAGTCATCTCCCTAGTAAAGCCAGTACTAAGAAAACACCATTTTGTAATGACTAAAACTAAATTTAGCTTAGGGCCATAATCATTTAATGGGGGGAGGGTGGGTTTTATTTCTAAAGTAGAAACACAAAGGCTTTGTATGGAAAAAAAATCAGTAAATTCTGAATGATTATATACTCAATCATTATTGAACAAAAAAGATACTAAGTACCTGATGACTGACATCAGAGAAAATGGCTCACAGCACTAAAGAAACATGTTAGAACTTTGTACAGGAGTGTCTTGAAAGGACATAATTATATGTCCTATAAAACAACAAGTAAGGTGCCAGATGTGCTGGCCACGGCTATAATCCCAGTGACTTGGGAAGCTAAGGTGTGAGGATAACAAGTTCGGGGCTAACCTTGGCAATTTAGCAATTGCTCATATGTAATTTAAATACACCAAACTTTCCTACCTTTCTACTAACTGGAACCAAAAAGCAGATGTGGATTTCRTCTAGGTACCTGGAAATGTCCGTACTTTAACCTGTTATTCARTTACTCTTAAAAATCCAACATTAAAGGATATAGATGAAATAAATAGCTCTCAAATGATAAGCTGACATCTACAATAACTAGTTCTAGTCTTGACTTCTAGAGTGACAAGTTCATCTCTTTGACTTTCAGTTTTCAAACTGAGGAAGAGATAAATGCCCTGCCTGTCTCACACTTCCAGGTGCCAAAACTACTATATTTTTTTTAACCACACTAAATGTGAATCTAAATTCTCTAATGCATAAGGGTAAAGAGATCCAATAAAATATTATCATGCTCTATTATCCAACTGCTTTACATGCTACTTTCAAAATATGAGTAAGACAGGGTGAAAAAAAAACAGTTGAAAATAAAACTGGTTTTAAAACCATGGGTGTTAAAATTACATATACATGAATTGGAATTTGAGTCACAACTAGAGAACTATGCACCACACCTAACTGTAAGCAAAACTGCCTYATTAATTCAAAATACCTAAAGAGCTGTACATTTTTGTGATCTTTTATATGACATATACAGGGATTTAAAAAGATATTGGGTCTGCGGATGTGGCTCAAGTGGTAGCGTGCTCGCATGGTATGCGTGTGGCCTGGGTTCGATCCTCAGCACCACATACAAATAAAAAGATGTTGTGTCCACTGAAAACTAAAAAATAAATATTAAAATTCTCTCTCTCTTAAAAAAAAGATATTCATTGCAAGCATTATTCATGAAGCTAAGATGTGAAAACAATCTAAATGCTCACCAAGGATGAATGGATAAGGTAAATGTGGTACATACATTAAATGAGATATTATTCAGGCTTAAAAATTAAGAAGAAAATATTGCCATTTGTGACAACGTGGATTAACCTTGAGGACATTATGCTAAATGAAATAAATTAGACAATGAAAGACAAATACTGCATGATTCCACTTACAACAGGTAGGTAAAACAGTAATATCCATAGAAACAGAGTTTAGAATAGTGATTGCCAGGGTGTAGAGGGAGAGGGCCTCACACATGCTAGGCAAGYGCTCTACCACTGAGCTACACCTCCAGACCAGGTGCTGTTATTAATGAGTATAAAGTTTCAGTAAGTTCTAGAGATCTGCCTACAATACAATACTATATTTTATACTTAAAAATTTGCTAGAAGGGTAGACCTCATGCTGTATCTTCTTACCACAATTTAAAAAATACTAATGTTCAAAAACAAACAATTTTTCTTCCCTCCCTTATCAGAAAGATTTCTCCATAAAGTTGACCCATCACTAAAGGAAGGGGAAATGTTTGTATGAACACCCAAGCTAAAATTTTCTGTGTATATCATGTATTTTCCCAAAGAAAGAACATTATGAAAAGAACAGTGGTTGGCATAGAAATATTAACARTGAATCTCTAAGGTTCACCATCATTTACACTTTAATTTCACAGGAAAATGCATTGTGATTTCCAAACAACCAATTAACAACACTTTCAAGGACATAATTCATTAACAATGATCATATAGTGCTGGATATGGTGGCACATGTCTATAAATCCAGCAACATGGGAGGCTGAGGCAGGAGGATCATAAGTTGGAGGATCATAAGTTGGAGGGAAGACTGGGCAACTTGGCAACTGAGCCTCAAAATTAAATTTTTAAAAAATGGTTGGGAGAAAATTTAGTGGTGGTACACTTGCTTAGCATGTGTGAGGGACTGTATTCAATCCCCAAAAAAGCAAATACACACTCATATACCCACACCCTTACACAGAATGATCTTGTATGCCAAAGGAATGACAGAAAGTTTAAATCAATATAAATAATCCCTATAACTGTAGAATAAATGGAAATTACATTTTAAAAATGACCAAATTATTGAAAACATACCTTATTCCAGAGAGACTATCAAAGGCATGAAGATCTAATACATTAGAGAGATCAACTCTAAAAGGAAAAAAATCCACATGAATAATTGAAAATTCTGTGAAATATATCAATTAACCAAGAAAAATATCTCTGAGACTCTTATCAAAATATATAAGCATAAGGATTAACCAGTATATCATAAGGAAATGCATATAAATGACAGACAAGTTATAAAAAAGCTTCCTGTATAAAAAATACTTCCTATGTAACATTCATAAAAGTGGGTGAATGAGCAGATCAAGGCAGAAAATTACTTGGTTATTGCTTCAACAAACTATAGCAG